ATTGATTCTATAGGGAAAATGACCTTAGTATATAAGCCAAGTGGGCTACTCTTCCCATCACCAATTGGTTTTGGAATGTAACCTCACTATGGTGCACCTGGGCTCACCCTCTTATGGTGCGCTTAATATGCGTGGGACCGCACTCTCTTGCCCCGATTCTCTAATCTTACATGGTATCAAAGTCAGGCCGACTCCTGCCTGAGTTTCTATCTCTACCCGGCCAACTCCGGCCAGGGTCTCTATCTCTACCCGGCCTGCTCTGGGCTTGGGCTTATGAAGGACTCACAAGTGAGGGGGCGTGTTGGAGTATCACTTGTGAGTTGTCCCACATTGATTCTATAGGGAAAATGAGCTTAGTATATAAGCCAAGTGGGCTACTCCTCTCATCACCAATTGGTTTTGCAATGGAACCTCACTATGGTGTACCTGAGCTCACCCTCTTATGGTGCGCTTAATATGCGTGAGACCGCACTCTCTTGCCCCGATTCTCTAATCTTACAGAAATAAATGAAAAATCCGTTGGAATTCTTCAACTATCAAACACTTATTCCAACATAAAATTAAATTTGTTGGAATATTTATTGGAATTTCCAACGAAAATTTTTGCCGTTGGAATTGTAGTATTTTTTTTTGTAGTGATATGACTATTTTATAAACACCCAACTCTAGTAATATTATGCAATAGGTTCATATCAATTAGGCAGTCTAGATTTTTACCTTATCTGGACAACTTAATAAATCTATAAAACAATTGAATATTTCTTATACTTGCATTTTACTATGTTGCCTGTAATTTTATCATACGAAAAAAATAATATTTTCTAACATTTCATGCATTTATAATTAGGGTAGTAATTTTTTTCCATCCAAATTATCACAAAACTAGTACATAACTCGTGAGATATTACGGATTACATATATTAAATGATTCATATCCGTAGGCCTTGTCCGTTTATGCACAAAAAACAATAGGGTTGGATCATCAATAACTTACTTAGTTTTGTTCACCATAAAATACTTAATTATTAATTTTATTCTACAATTTGTTGTCTTATAATGTCATTATTATTATTTATATAAGTTATAGAAGTATTTTTTTTTTCTTCTTAGTTTATGTAATGAAAAATATTTAATGTATGTAAACATTATTTATTAATATAATTAATTTAAATTTATGTAAGTATATTTAAAATAAAACATTTTTATAATTTTTACATAATACACACTTTTTTTAGAATTTAATTTTCTCATAATACTTACAGAAAAAGAATGATTTAGCAATTACCAAAAAATAGATCTCTTACATAACCAAGAGATTTTTAACTTACATCCCAAGGTTTTATAGTTTTTTTACCGTACTTCACAATGGTAATATATTTTATAATAAATTCATTATAAAAAAATGACAAAAAAATTATCATGGTTGGCAATAATATACAAATAAATCATATGTTGAATTTTTTTATAATAGTTAATATATTTTAATTTTATTATTTATCCAGTAGTAATATTGTTGAATGTATCTAATTATTATCTCTTAAATGTTAAATTATCTTAATTTGAATAATTATTTATTTTTTATATAATTAAATAAAGTTTAAAAATATTATCGGCAGATATTAATTCACCAACTCGATTTCGTCTAATTAGTTGGAAGGAGAATATCCCCTAACATGTTACGATTTTTACAATTTTTTTTCGGATGAAAGTCAATATTTGTGAAACAAATTAATAATATGTTTAAGACTTATAATTTATTTTCATGTTTATATTGACAAAAATATTATCAACATCAATCACTAAATACCAAAATTGTAGTTTTATTTATAATGGATATCAATAACATTATTGCGGATATTAATAAAACTAATAAAAAAAAATAATCTTTTTGATCATATTTATTCGAAAATATGTATATTGAAGCAATTAATGCAAATATTTACAAAGTTTTTAAAGAAGGTATGCATTAAATGTTGTCTGATCTTTTTGCTATTATTTTTAGTAAATGGTTATTCTCTATATACACTCTCTCATGTTCATAATATGTGTCGTTTTAAGAAGTTGCACAATAATTGAGATTTTTTTTGTCAATAATAACCCTCTTTGCACCTTATGTTTTCGGAAGAATCCCAAAACTAACTGAACACGGCAATAAAGAACACTGAACAAATCTACCACAAAAGCTTAAAATAAAGAACCTATCAAAAGATTCTAAGCATTACTAGTACAATATACTTTGCCTCCGAAAAAAATCCTCAGTCGCCCGGGCCCCTTCGTCTGCTGGCAACCGCAGATTCCCATATCCAACTATGGCCAAGGTTGGAGGCTCCTTTCTCGTCCCTATCTCAGCCCTCGTGCGGAGTGGTATTGCAGCGGCGCCGATGCGTCTATCTCACTCTCTCTTGCGGTTCGGGGCCGCCGTGCTTTTTCTTCCTCCTACGACCTCGTGCCGACAGGGAGGTGTCATTGTGGCTGTCGATTCGTCTTCTCTGACTGGAGGCGCCCGATGGCTGAGCGCAATTTCACGGTCTATTGACGGTGATGGTCTGTCCCGCTGGTGTTTATGTGGCGGCTTCCCCCCCTCTTGGAATTGAAATCACCGGTGTCCAATCTGGATCGGGAATCGCCTCCTCGCCATATCTATCTTAGCGGTCCGAGTTTGGCCGTAGTTTTTGGTCTGGGATTCGATTTGTTGCTCTTTTGGCTTTCGTGTCTGTAGGTGTGGCTTGTGTGCCGGTTTTGGTACTCATGTGGTTGGTCTGCTAGGTATAGGGAGGTCTTATTTTACTTGTCATTAGGTGTGTGTTGGTTTTATTTATTTTTATTTTTTTCTTCATTTTGTTAGTCCAACCGCGTCTGACTTTTGTCTCCTTTATGTAGTTTTGTGTCTTCTTTATGGAGTTTCTTTTAAGGTCTTGGTGTCTCCTTGATGGAGTTTGTACCAATTATGTAATTCTAAAGGGTTTGGTCCAGACTTTGTCTGGTTTCAATAGAGTCCGTTGACATACTGAGTGTAACTTTTGGAGTTTTTTGTTCTTAATATAATTATCCTTTGACAAAAAAGAAGAATTCCTCTTTGCATACAAACTTATAGAGTTTTTTTTTTTTATTTTTTTGTTTTTTTTAACGAAACGGTAGAGAACAAACTGAGAATTAGTATTTTTTTTTATCCGTGCACATGCACTGGCGAGGCCAATTTGATAATGATAATTAAGTTTAAATTATCTATATTTATATAGATAAAACAAATTACTATCGATAATAATTCTTTTTTTTTTTTTTCTGTTGTGCATTGCATTAGATATCTTTTGACGTTACAATAGTATCTTTATCTTTTCGGGTCGAACTTTCCATCAACTAAATGGCTTTTTTTTTTTTTTTTTTTTTTTTTTTTACAAAGAAGGAGGCAAAAGGCCTGAAATTACGATACTAGAACTCTACGTGGGTGAGTCACTCCACGGAAGTCATAATCGATCCATGCAGCTAGTCCTTGGGGTGGAACCGTTAATCTATGGAGGCCTAACGGGTACGAGGCCGCTAAGCTCGCCATATGGTCCGCAGCAAAATTGGCCTCTCGGTGGACATGCTGAATCTTGACGCTCCAACAAAATGGCATTTTAACTAATAAACACGAGTGACAATTATAAATTAAAAAAAAAAATCAGTTTTATCACTTTATGCACATCACTAGTATTATGGTTGCATTTTTAGATAAAATTTTCTTTCTTAGTCTATATTTTTTATAGATTATTTTGATTAGTGAAATATTTAGATTAGATTTTTCTAAATTGGGCATTATTCTTCAACTCACGAACTATAAAGATGGGCCAACCCTAAAAAATTCTCAGCCCACCTTGAAGTGTTAAACAAGCTCTTTGTGTTTAGACATTTTTTCAGAAGCCTATTATTTTTTGGGAATTTTTTATTTTTTTTTTTACCTCCCAATTTTTGACTTTGCCTTATAAACTTTTTTTGTTAACAGATTACCTCCTGATGTCATCGAAACTAACACATTACCTCCTAATACACGATTTCGATCATATTTTGCACCGGAGAAAGCACGTGTGCAGCACATGCGAGGGTAAAATCGTCCGTTCACGTAATGTTGCAATACAAAATCCCAAATCTGATTAAATCAACATCATAATTTTCCCTCATTTAACCCTAATTCTGCTCTTCGTTTTCAAATTTTTTTCCCTTTTCACGATCTTTCCCCAAAATTTTAATTTGATTAAGATTCACGAGGCAATTAATCTTCTGTCTCGAAGGTTCTCCGATATCTGGTCATGGTTTGGAAGGTGCGAGAATGGTGTGCACGGACGATTTTACCCTCGCATGTGCTGCACACGTGCTTTCTCCAGTGCAAAATATGGTCGGAATCGTGTATTAAGAGGTAATGTGTTAGTTTCGATGAATCAGGAGGTAATCTATCAACAAAAAAAATATATAAGGCAAAGTAAAAAAAAAAAAAAAAAAAAAAANNNAAAAAAAAAAAACGCATACTTTGGGAGATAAAAAAAAAAATTCCCTTATTTTTTCAATCCTATTAGAAACACAGCTCATCGTCTTCTTCCTCGGTTTCATAGATCTGCAATTGCCCTCTTACACTATACAAGCATCTCATGTGCGTTTATATGCGAGTAGTAAATGCTTTAATGGAGTTTCTTTATAGTGCTTTTTGTTGTTCTTTTTTTGGTTATTCGTCTAAGCTACTGGCAGCAAGAAATGTATTTGTGATTGGCTAATTCAGTACCAATTTATTTTGTGACAATTTTTGGCTGTGTAGACATTTTTTTTCTCTTTGTTTTGGAGCTTTCTTTTTCTGGGTGCTTTTCGATTAAGTCTATATTGGTTAAGGGTGATGTAATTTGGGTAGTTACTTTGCAGAAGTTGAAGAAGATCAATTGAGGACAGACTTTTTGTGGATAATGGCTTGTAAGGGTTTTTGGGAATGCTTGTTGAAGCTTCTGAACTTCTTACTAGTTCTGGTGGGTTTTGCCATGATTGGTTATGGAGTATACCTATTTGTGGAGTACAAGAATGCTGCTTCTGCTGACGGTGATGCCGCGTTTCCCCCCTCGGGTGAGGAGATTGTACGGCTCGGTCGGCCCATGCTTTTAGCGGTGTCTCTGGCCGATAGCATTATTGACAAACTTCCTAAGGCTTGGTATGGTCATCATTTCGTGTTTTTTGTTACATGGAATATGCTTATCCATTCATGATCTTAATGTGTATCGTCGACGTATTTTTGTCATTCTTGTTGATTGATATCTTATAACTCTTGAGTGATTTGTGTCGGCAAATACGTTATTTCGTAAACTCAGGTTGGAGCCTGTTTGAGATCTCCAAAACTTTTCTTGGGTCGTTCGTCAATATCTTTACTTGTGTTATTGTTTTGATTCTGGATATGGAACCAGGAAAGCATTTTATTACTACATAGTAAGTACTAACTTTTGCTGTTAAAAATGGGGTGGGGAAGCCTACTATATGTCTATTCAAACACAATTCTGGTTTTCCTTTTTATTCAATTTTGTTTATTTTATTGGTATCTGGATATTAGATGACCATTAACCAATTCCAACTTTATGGTCCCTGTTATGTCAAAAGCTAATTTGACGATAATTAGTTTACCTATTTGCTTTTCTTTCACAGTTTCACTTGTAGACTTAATCCAAACCCATTTATATGATTTATTTCATTCTAGGGACATATAAAATCATATTAACTTGTCGTAGATACTTTATCAGCTCATATCAGATGTATTATATTCTTTGAGGAACCAAATCTTGTTTGGAAGTAAGAAACATATATTTTCTGCGTCCTGTTCCACTCCATTAGATATGGTGGACATATTTGTTCTAGTGAATAGGCAGCGTCAGGTTTTGTGCATGAGACATGCAGTATTTTGGACAGCAATTTGAGTTGAGTTGCATGTATAAAAGGCATATACGACAAATATTTCAAGTGCAACTTGGAATGTTTGTGCACTTTCCTTACTTCTATTAAATTGACTATTTTCATTGTGTTGTTTTGGAAAAAAAAAAAACATAAAACATTTGGGCAGCATTAATCTATTCACGATGAAATGGCTTCTCAACTGATGAAGCTTCAGAAATGCTTATACTGACCTCTCACGTGCTGTTTGCAGGTTTATATATCTTTTCATTGGCACTGGTGCAGTTATTCTGTTTATTGCTTGTTGTGGTTGCATTGGAACTGCTACACGGAATGGGTGCTGCCTGACTTGTGTATCCTTTATGGTTGTCTGATTGTCTTACTTTTATATTTCATTATAATATTTCCATCTTCAATTAGTCTGATTGAGAAGTTAAATTCATGTTGTGTATGTCTAGCTGAAGTTATCACAACTTTCACAAGTTCGAGTCATTGTAGTCTTAAAGTGATTGCAGTGGTAGGATAAGTCATTGTTGAGAAAAATAGGGTCCGGGCACTGGGGAACAGTTGTTGCTTGAACTTGTTTATTATACGTGTCTCTTTTGTTCACTGTAAAGGTTGTAAAAATTGTGGACATCTCTTTTCTTTTTATTTATTTATTCTTATTTTTTATCAATGGTTGTTGGGATCCTTAAGATTGTTAAGTTTTCAGTACTGGTGATCTTGTTAATATTGATAGAGCTGGGGTTGGCTGCATTTATATTCTTTGACAAGAGCTGGAAACAGGTTAGTTTGACCTTTATATTTCATCTTTAGTTTCACATATTTGAGAATTTGATAACAAGTTTTATATGAACAGGAAATTCCAACTGACAAAACTGGAAATTTCGATACGATATATGAATTTCTGGAGGGGCACTGGAAAATTATCAAGTGGGTGGCTCTTGGTGTTGTCATAGTAGAGGTAAAGCTAACGGGAATGCTTCTCATAACCATGAATTAAGTTAAATTCATATAATATGTGTGTGTGTGTGTGTGTGCGCGCGCGCGCCCGCGCGTGGGTTTTGGCTGGCTGCACTGGCTCGACCTGCCGGCACGTTTTGACACTCTTATCAAACCATACTATGATCGGTTTATGTACACATAGAGCTGATATTAATTACTGTCAAACTGCAGGCCCTTATATTTTTGTTAGCGCTTGTTGTAAGGGCTGCAAATAGCCCAACAGACTATGATAGTGATGAAGAATACATAGGTGGACCCAGGCAACAAATCCGGCAGCCGTTGATAAATAGGCCAGCTGCTCCAGCCACAGGTGTCCCTGTTTCTGGTACTCTTGATCACCGTCAAAGTAGGAACGATGCTTGGAGTACACGAATGAGGGAAAAGGTGAAAACTGTCGTTACTTTTTTTACCATGTCAAATGCATTTTTTTAGCTTTTATCCTTTCTGTAAGGCTATAATTTCCGAAACTCTGAGTCAGTTGTTAAGTGATTCTTTGGTGCTACCCAATAGACAAGTCATTTGCTATTTAATATGATTACAAGTAAGTAAGTCTGCTGAAAACTTGGCTAGTCTGATGCAGGAGATTATTAAGCAATATAAAGCACATAAATTGTGATAGATCTTTGTTTACGAGATTTCTTACCGCCACTTGAAACATTGCAGGCTTTTCGGCAATATGTTTACCGAAAGCTTATAACCCCAAAATTAAATATTCCCTGGCGTGTTCTTCTCTCATGTAGAGATCTGCAATTTGGAAAATATGCCCTGTGTTTTAACTTTCACTTCCTATTTGCCTTTAACTGGTTGATAATCGATAGCATGTTGAGAGGCAAAAATGAGAAGAAATGAGTGAAGCAATGCGATTATTAGTTAAGATCTCAAAGTAAATGTAAGGAAAATCACTAATACACAATGGCCATTACTACTTGCATATATTCTTATTTCCTCGAGCACAAACAGATTATGCCGTGGTTGAATTGTTTATTCCGTTAGTCATTTAATGCTTTTGCTTACATATACCGGAACCTATGGCTATTTCAAAGTGGTAACAAATGTGCTTATCCAAAGTTATATGCTGGGGCATAGTTCGGGTTTTCTCGGTGTACTGCTTTTGTGAACAAGAGTACTAAAGAATGATATTTGCATTCAGTTATTGATTCTATGTGCTTGTGTAACAGTACGGATTGGATACCTCGGAATTCACATACAATCCATCCGAGTCGAACAGGTACCAGCAAGCTGCAGCACAACCACCTGAGGACAAAAGTCGCTGCATCATTATGTAATGTGTGTGTGTGTGTAGAGGTGGAGATATATATATGTGTATGTTCTTATTGATGGTTTTTCCAAAAAAAAAAAAAAAAGTTCCATATTGCTGATTTTGATCTGAATGACAAAATCCCCGATTTGATCTAAGTACTTACGTAGCATGCTATTTTGCGCCATTTTCATGCTTAAGTGCCAAAAAAAACAAAATGATAAAAAATAATGAAGATTAAAATGTTTGGTGTTATGTTTAAATCGATTTTTTTAGATTACATTAATACCTTATGATAGTTTAATTAAATTAAATTAGTTTAAGTTTTATTGTTGAATCGTCATATTATAATAACGTTTACATTAAATAACTTGAGCAACACGCTACGTTCTTTACGTTACGCAATACAAAAACCAGCATAGACGCATTATGCTACACGCCTTTCAGAACACTATAGACAACGCTCGGTATACATTCCTCTTTCGTTCATATGAAAATTAAAGATCTAAACGCCACGCAAATCTGAAGACTAACCTGGCTTGGCTTGGACATGCTAATAATATTCTTTGACTGCAACGAGTATCTTGTGAGGGACGACTCGGCCATCTTCATGGTCGAGCATTTTCAACTCCCATCTCATGCCTCCTCCAATTTTCTTCACCTTATTTAGCACATCAACTTCGTCCCGCAATGTCAGTGTCCCAAAATGCGATCCATTTCAATGTCTACAAATTGACATCTATATGGCCACCAAATTTTGTGAGAAAATTTATATGATGCATCAATATTTTACTCGGTTATCCTAATTTCATATCAAGTAAAATGCGGCTTACTTACCTAACGTGTTCGGAGCAATAGTAGGCACGACATTCATCACCCACAGTTTGGATGATTCTAAGGCAGCTGCAAAAACCTCCGAGCCCTGCATTCATGTCCATGATATTTCTCAAATCTATTGCTTCCTAGTAACCTAACCGATCTCTTGTAAGAACTGATGTGCTTTTTCCAAAGCTTGTTATCCTCTTCGTAAGACTCGGATGTCACCCCAAGAACATCACCATTGAGAATTCGAGGAGGGACATCAAAGAGCCTAGCTGGAAACTTCTTCAACTCCCCATCAGTATATGAAGATTGACAATAATTGGCAGATTTTCGTTTGCAAGACTTGGCGTTTATTTCTTTCCGCCAGATGGCAACGTCTCCTTTCTCGTACTTCTTCTCCCAGCAAAGAGATTCAACCAAGTCTTCAATCCTCGACTGCTCGGCTTTCAGGTCTTCTTTTATCCTTTTCCATGTAGGAAAGTATGTCTTCCAATTGACTGGAGGACCAGATAAGACCCAGTATCCACCGGGTCTAAGGACTCGATCGACTTCCATTAAGTACATGCCAGCTACAGATACGAAAAAACCTCAGACGTTCAGAAAGTTGCTTAGATAGATTCCTTGACACTTTAATGATTACAAATACCGACATTCAGTACGTAGAATCACTTTTGTTCTTGGTCTCTGTTAAAAGTTAACAAATGTATTCGAAAATTATATGTCTCAATATATATTACTACCATAACTTTCATGTACTCGATTATTTAATCGAAACTGCAGCAGCCATGCAACTAGTATTAACGAAAAGATTATGTCGGGTAATTTTAAATTTATTGCTAGATGGTCATATATTCAGATAGAAACTCAGAACTCGATTGTCACTAACCGATTGAAAACTAAAATTACTACAAAACAGGGGAACTAATTACTGATGCCCATAACTATTAGCTAATGGTGGTCGACGAAGTTCTGAAAAAATCAAAATATTTCAATATAACAAAGCAAAACATGAACTGAAGATTACGCACCTCGAGCATTGAGCCATATCAAATGCTCTCGATGGGTACGGAAGTTTTATCTATCCAAGAACCCCGATAACAGCTGGCACACCTCTCGCCAATGCGAATTGGACCTGCGCCTCGTGATTATCCCTCGTTGCAAATGACATCGCAAGCACATTCCTCTTCAGCATATAAGCACCCAAGCTAGCAACCTTATTTTTGCAGCAGTTAACAAAAGCTGTAAGATTAAATCTGAACAAAATATATATTATAGAAAAATAAGAAGGAATGGCCGAACATACTCCACAACCGGTATCAAGAGCAGTACGAACCGAGCCATCAGCAATAGGTATAACTCGCGCGAGCTCGTTAATATACGCGTCAGCACCTTGAGGAAACATTGTCCCGCCTCCCGGGAATTTAAACACATTACCCTGAAATTGTACCCAATTCTGGCCAGCTTTCTCATCAGTCAAGCTTTTGAAAGGGACATTAGAACAAAACATAATCGCGGCTCTACGGCCAAGGGAAAAGGATCGTGTAGCCTTTAGGCGCCGGGATCAAACAGCGCAGTTTTTCTTCTTCCGGGAGGGCAATGCCTCTCTCTATACACCAGTTTTTCTTCTACTATTGAGTTTGATCCCATGTCGGGTTTAATTAATGTTTTTATGGGAAAAAAAAGTTGAATTTTTTATGTTCAAACTAGCTTACATGCGATTTCGGATTTTAGAATTGTAATCAAATATAATATTTTATTGAATAATATTTTTATTATAATACTTAGCATTTTAAGATACATGTTGAGGTTTATAAAATTTCCTTATTTTCAATTAAAAGTAACTAATTTTTTTTTTTTTTTATTATTCTTCAATTTATAAGATTATATTCATGAATTTATTATTATTATTATTATTATTATTATTATTATTATTATTATTATTATTATTATTGTTTTTAGTAAATGATTCTTGTATGGTTTGCCCGTTTTCATTATAGTATTGTGTATTTTTTTTTTGGTACAAAGAAGGAGGCCAGAGGCCCAAACTACGCTAGAACGCGGCGGGGGTGAGCCACCCCTCGTGAGTCGTGGTCAAGCCATGCCTCCAAACCTTGGGGGGGTAATGGAAGTCTCTGCAGTCCTAACGGGAAGGAAGCCGCTAGTGTTGCCATATGATCTGCCGCGAAATTGGCTTCCCTGTGCATATGTTGGAAGCGAATTCTCCAGTCACGATCGGCCAGGCTTCTTATGGTTCTGATCAAAGCCTCGTGGACACCGAAATAGGTTCGTGGTCCAGTGATCATTTGGAGCACGCACTGGCTGTCAACTTCAGCAATTACCTGTCGGAACCCTAGATCCCACGCAAGTTGGATGCCTTGGAACAAGCCCCATAGTTCAGCTCCAGTTATCGTGCCAATACCAATATTCATCCCAAACCCTTCGATCCAAATGCCCTGTTCATTCCGAATTAACCCCCCTGCACTGCACAGGCTCGTGGTGCGATTAAACGCCCCGTCAGAATTAACCTTGACCCATCCCGTATCTGGCGGTATCCACCTAATCATGCGTGTCTCGAATATCCTCGCGCCGACCTTCGCATAAGCTATTGCTGCCTTCTCGTAAGCCTCAGTTCGGCGGGTGATCTCCAGTAAACGAGCCTCACAATTTAACCGTCTGCCATTAAAAATTCTATCATTCCTCCATTGCCAATTGCACCAAATCCCAAACGCGAACCGGTTGTCCCAATTTCTGTTCACTGTCCGCGGTGCTGATCCCAGATTCCACAGCAGCCATTTTCGAAGATCTTGCTGAAAGAAAGTAGTCTCTGTACCTGGAATAAGGAGCTTACGCCAAAGTGCTTTCGTAGACGAACAATCACGTAGCACATGCAGAGTGGTTTCCGCCTCGCCACATGCATCACACGCTGCTGAACTGGTAAGATGCCGTCTATGTCTCTCAACATTTGTCAGAAGCCGATCCCGGGCCACCAGCCACATGAACGCCCGAACTCTTTGCGGGACGGTCGAGCGCCATATCAGCTTCCATAAGGGCTTATCCGGGTCGTTAAGAGGTTGGGCTAGAGAATCGTAGGCCGACCGCGTAGAGAAACATCCATCGTGGGTCCCGCTCCACATGAGTCGATCTTCGCCGGCGTCTTCTCTCGGCGGCAACATTCCCGCAACTTGCATGATTACAGCCGAAGGAAGGATGCCATGGAATGCGTTCCACTTCCAGTTTCCCCGTTCATCTATATAATCCACGACCTTCAGGCCTAAAAATTCCTCAGGAGGTCGCTGATAGGCATGGTGTATAAGAGGGCATAGCGGCCCAGCCCAAGCGTCTAACCAAAATCGTACCGTCTCCCCGTTACCAACTCTCCATCGGGTCCCTTTAATAGTATCCGGCCAGATTTTGGATAAAGCTTTCATCAGAGGCGAACCCCTTTGGCAACGTGAATTATTTGAGTTGGTCGAAATCTGGAGCCCGTACTTCGCAGAAAGAACACGGGTCCATAGCGCGGTGCTTTTGGAGAGGATACCCCACCCAAGTTTCATCAAGAGAGCTTTATGCCGCCTTCATCTTTGGGTTTACACACTTCCTTCCAGGCGACCAAATGGACTTTACGCTTGTCGGCCGTGCCACCCCAGACAAAAGCGCGGCTGCGACGTTCGAGACCGTCAGTGATTGTGCAAGGGAGCATAGCCGCCTGCATTGAGAAATAGGGTAAAGCGCTAATCACTGACTGGGTTAACGTGACACGGCCCGCTAAAGATAGAACTTTCATTTTTCACCCAGCGAGTCTCTCCTCGGCCTTCTCCAAGATGTGAGCGTACGTAGACTTAGTAATGCGCCCGTGAATTACTGGCATCCCAAGATACTTCCCCAGATTCTCGGTCCGTTGAAACTGTAGCGCATCCGCCAAACCAACTTGATCAGCTACCGGAATGTTGCGAGAGAAGAAGACTTGTGTCTTCTCCGTGCTAACTTTCAAGCCCGAGATATCGCTAAAGAGCTCAAGAACGTGCTGCAGAACTCCTACCTGTTCATGCGAAGCTTCCAGGAACAAGAGTAGGTCATCTGCGAACATCAAGAAAGGAACCGACACAGCACCTCTTCCAACAGAAATCGGCTTCCAAGCATGCCTGTGGACCGCGTGTTCAATAAGTTGCGCCAGCCTCTCCATGCATAAAACGAAAAGGTATGGCGACATGGGGTCGCCCTGCCGAACTCCTCTGGTAGGGAGAAATTCGTCCCCAATAGTTCCATTCCATAGCAGGCGCATCGAAGCTGATCTCACGCAAGCCATAATGGCTTTAATCATCACGTTGGGGAAGCCGACGAAGAGCAAGGTTTCTTCGATGAAGTCCCATTTCAGGTAGTCATAGGCTTTTTCAAGGTCAACCTTGATAACCATGTGGCCCGTCGCTCCTTGTTTGCAACGCATTGAGTGAATTAGCTCATGTGCGACGACAATATTATCAATGATCTGGCGACCCGGGACGAAACTGGCTTGGGCTGGGTGGATTAGAGCTGGCAAGAATTCTTTCATACGATTGACCAACACCTTTGTGAATAGTTTATAGATGACGTTCAAGAGGCTAATCGGCCGATACTGCCTAATGGAGGATGCATTCTCCACTTTGGGAATAAGGACGAGCAAGGTTTGGTTTATCTCGGGAGGGACTGTGCCGGAGGCCCACATGGAGCGAATGAATTGCCTTACTGATAGACCCACCGTCTCCCAATGCTTCTTGAAGAAGAGTGCGTTCAAGCCATCTATTCCCGGGGCCTTAAGAGAGCCCATGTTTGAAGGGCTTAAAAAATTTCCTCGGCCGAAATCTCCTCTACCATGGACTTCATCTCCACCTCCCGGTGTTGGAAAAAATTAGGCGTGCCCGTCGCCCTTCCCGTGTGTTGCCCGTCCGTATAAATATTTTGGAAAAAGTTCGTAGCTAAGCACTGGAGCTCCTTTTGGTCTGTGATGCGGTGGCCCTCCTCATCGACTAGTTCTATGATCCTGCCGTGGCGTCTACGGGACTTGACTTGTCGATGAAAAAAGGAGGTGTTTCGGTCCCCTAAATGCAACCAATCACGCGTAGATTTTTGGAGAAGGAACAACTCCTCTTGGAGAATAACCTCGTCCAATTCCTCCCGCAATTGCTTCTCTAAGGAAACGAGTTTGGCCGAGTAGTAGTACTGGTGGCTTCTTTGGATCCCATTGATGCGTGCGAGAAGTCTCCTTTTGCGGTTAAAAATGTTTCCAAAGACCTTGCTATTCCATTCCCTTGCCGTTCTCACGAAATGGTGTGCGGCTTCTGTAAATGAGAGGTTTGGTTGCCACACTTCTTTTAGCATGCTGGGAAAGTCCGGATGAAGAAGCCATGAGGCTAAGAAACGGAATGGTTTCTCTCCTTGTGCTACTTCCCTTAACCGGCCGAATTCGATTAATAGAGGAGCGTGGTCGGATTGAATGCGGGGTAATCGCCGGACCTTACCGGACTCGAACCTTTCCAACCAAGCAGTGTTCGCGACAAAGCGATCCAACTTCTCCATAATCCTTCCCGATTGACCGCCACGAGTCCACGTGTATGTGTGCCCGTCAGTGGCCACTTCTTGGATGCCATGGGAAAACATCCAGTCCACGAATTCCTTACTAACATTGCAAGACAAACGAGACCCCCCCATCTTTTCGGATGACCGAAGCAAGCAGTTGAAGTCTCCGCCCACGAGCCAAGGGGCTGATGTACAAGCCGCGAGCCTCTCCATGTAGGGCCATAATCTTCGCCTGATCCTTGGGTTAGGACTAGCGTAGATAAACGAAATCATGCTAAACTCCCCATCCTTACTGGCCCGAACGTGTACAATTTGCTGGGAGTAAAACAGCACCTCAATAGATACCCTCTCCCTCCATAACAACCAAATCCCGCCTGAAAAGCCCCGAGCTTCAACTCGGAACGAGTTTTCAAATTTACTATATCGCACAAAATTGTCTGCAGCTGCCCCACTAATTCGGGGTTCAAGAATGGCTACAATATCAGGAGATTGTTGACTAACCAAAGTGGAGAAGGCTCCCCGAAAGGCGGGCGAACCGGCTCCTTGAACATTCCAAGAGATAATCTTCATGGGAAACTGATCGGGGAAAAGAATTAAAGGTCCGCAGTTAGACGAGAGCTGAGTCTCGATCGCCCCTGTTGGTCTCATTGAGCATGGAGTGGTCCATCTCCTCCGAACTATTGCCGGGACCTCGACGTGGGTGTGGTTCCTCCGGCCATGGGTCTTGTCGACGGACAGCATGTTCGCCGTCCGACATAATGTCATCCTCGGCGCTGTCATCTGTGGGGTTCTCATGGGTCCAATGACTTGGGAGAGGGATACTGTTATTCTCATCAATAATAATGGCCTTGTGCTTGATTGGGTCCAGACCCGCCCCGACCCGAACTTGTTCTGCATGGTTCTGGTGTTGGATAGTTCTGGAGGTCCCCGCGTTGGTCTTGACGGTACATTTTG